GGGGGCTTGTTCCAAACCACCTGGCAGGCTTTCTGCCTCCTCAGTTGAGTTTGGTCTTTTTTCTGGGCAGGGGGCACATTTCCAAACGAAGCATCAGCCTGGAGCCATCCACGTTTTTTTCTAAAAATACCAGTGGGATCTAAGTGGAGCCCTGGGAGGATTTGGACATGAAGATCATGAATTGAATTTAGCCTTGTGTCCCATCAACCTCCTATTTCTTTTTATTTCTGAAAAATATAGAGAGAAATTCAGTAAAGAAAGTGCCAAGTAGGGCACCTTTATAATGCCCAGGGGTGCCATAGTGGAGATCCAGGCTCTTGTGGAGATTGTGAATCGGCTGCAGCCTGTTGCTTTTGCGCTGGTCTTTGAGAAAACTAGACCTTTGTGTGGAGAAGAGCAGTTGCTCATGACCTCTCCTTTCCTTTCCACCGCCAGCCAGAAACTGACTTCTTTGGCCGGGTTGTCCTCAAGAAAAAGGTGCTCCCTTCGCCAGGTAAGGCCTGGGCTGGAGGGAAACGTTCTGTCCTCTGGGAGAGAGGATGCTGGGAGGAGCGGTGGGATAAGATATGGTTCAGCTCACCTGTTTGGATTGGATTGAAATGGCTCATGAAAATAAACCTTGTGGGGAAGAGAAATTGGGGTGCGCTGCGGCTCTCTCCGTCCTTGTCCACTGCAGGACAGCAGGGCGTGATGCTCTCTTTCCTATTAAAGTGTACTGAGAATGAGTTGAGAGTTCTCCTGCATGGACCTCCCATTCAGGCTTCCTTGGTTGGCCATAATGGCACTAAATAAATTTGTAGCACAGAAATCGTAGAGGTTTTCTGCAAAGGAGGCAGGAGAAGCAAAAGGGCTGCTCAGCCCCAGGAAAGCAGACAGCCCACCTGGTCCTCAAGAAGGAGGGCAGTGAGGATTTTGGAAGGGGTTTCAGGAGCCTGTTGACATACCCTGCAACCATAAAGTAGCATTTCTGGAATCCCCTCCATGCTCTTTTTTTGATCTGGCCTACCTCAAAAGGCTGACAGAAACAACGAACAGCTGGCAAGCTCCTACGGCACTCTGTTAGTGGTTCTTAAACTGTTACGATGACTGTAAACGTATGGTGGTTATATTGGTCTGAACGCTTCTGTGTAGTTTTTACTTGTGAATATTGGTGGTGGTTGAATGCATCCCAGTGAGCAGCATGGTATAAATGGCAGGCTTGCTGGCTTGATTAGGTCTGCCTTGAGCTGCGAACCAGAGAAGGGATCAGGCTGGTTGAAGAAGGCAGCTCTAACCATGATCGGGGATCCAGGCTTGCAGCCTGATGATTTCCTTGCCCTCAGGTTCTCCATGTTGCCCAAGCCTGAAGGGGAGGTTAAGGTTATTTTTTCCCTTGAGCGCTGGAGGGAGCCAGCTTCTTGCAGTTAGCGGGAGATTTTGTTTAGAGGTGTGTAACTCCTTTGTAAAAGTGCGGAGAAGTAAAGGCTAGCTTTTATTTCCCCGACTTGTTTACAAATGTTTCTTTTCCATAACAAGTACTACGGATATTCCCACTTTCTTTAATTTTATCCGCCTTCTCTTGGGGTAAGGCAACAAAGATGGTAACTGCAACCAAACAGTCAAATTGTTTATGTGCAGTTCACACAAAGAAGTGGGGAGGTTTCAGCTGCACGGTTGTAGTCATGATCTTGACTTCCTGACCACCCTAAACCCTGCAGACGCCTCTGCTATCACTTTTTCTTTTCTCTTTTCTTTCTTTCCCCCTAGACGCTGATCAGGTGCCTGAGAAAAATACAGTGGAAAAGCAAATTGGAAAAGCTGTTGGACAAAGTGATGTTTGGTTCCGGTTTAATGAAGGTGTTTCCAATGCAGTTCGGAGAAACATTTATATTAAAGATTTGTTCTAGCAATTAAAAAAAACAAGAAATGAAATAGGGGCGTGAAAAAGCAGGCAGCAGGAGGAACGTTTCAATGTATTTTTTGTATTAAATCCTTTTTTTAGAATAAATAAAGACATGCTTAATATTGCTTTATTTCATTTATAAACTTATCACACGTAGTTTTTTTTTACTGCAAAACTGAATTTCCTAAAATAGAAAAAAATGAAAATGCTTATAAAACGCATGTTTATATCTAAAAAAAGAAAGAAGACAGCAAAAAGAATTACAGATTTACAAGGAAGAGCAGCTAAGGGGGTTCCTAAAAAGGACTTTGATTCTGCGTCACTGTTTCTGGTTACAGATCATTTCTGTCTTTGGGTTGCAGTGATTCAAAATAGCAAGTCTCTTCCATATAAATGAATCCTTTCCTATTGAGCAGTTCCCAAATCATGAACTGACAGGTTTAAAATTAGCAGGTCCTAAAATGCTAGATTGCTGCACTGTAGGTTTCTGTCACTCTGTGCCGGTGAGGATCAGCTGTTCTCCCCCACTGCATAGCAGATGGCCAGGGCCGCTCCCCCCAGCAAGGATAATCCGGCTTTCTGCAGGACAGCCCGTTGCAAGCCATCGCGCAGCCCGGGTCTGGGAGACCTTGCCCGTCCTGCGCCGTCAGAATTTCAGAGCGGAGCCAGTCGGGAAAGGCCCACCTACAGTGCTCATGAAGCTGGATCTCCCTTTAAGCCACCCACACCCAAATGGTGCCCCAGATACCAGACGTTTGGGAAGCCTTTAACATCGTCCTTAGATAAGGCCCCTGCACTAACACAGGACTATGAATGCGGATTTAGCCATAGCGGTAAGCAAATAACTTTGGAGCCTTCAGTTTTTACGCAGTTTCGGAGCGTCTCCAAAGGAAAGCATTTCATCAGTCGGGGAAGATGCGGGGCTAAGGACACGGACTAGAGGATGGTACATTTTCCTCTTTCCACCCAGGGGTTGTTTTTCATCCGTTCTGGATTCAGGAATGGATCTTCTGGGATCCCATCTTCTATCCATTTAAGGAATCTAGAAAAGAAGAGAAAGCAAGGTCTCTCGCTTTGCTAGGGTCCAGTGTTGCACTTCGAACTCTTGTCATACGGATTTATGGAGCCGGTCATCTCCAGGAGGTAAAATTCTCCTCTTTAGAAAATTATGTTAAATTACTTCTAAATACTGTTATGAGCAGGGATTTTGTGAGAATGTTTTGATTCACATCCTTAGTTTCTTGCAGACCCACCACCACTGATATGGATCTCTGGACAGTTGCAACTGGTATAATGGCATTTGAAACTCTCCAAAGCTCAGGACAGCTCTTGGATACCTCCCTGTAAGAGTCTCTGGTCTGCCACTGCGCTGAGATTTAAAAAAAAATAAACCTGCAAGCAATGACTTTAAAACAGTTATTTAAGCATGGGTCAGCTTTTGTGACCAGATTGTTCTGACATCACAAAAGCCAGGAGATTTCTGGATGCAGCACGTCAATAATCTTCTCAACATGCTTCATTCCATCTCTCCTTGTTTTGGTCCTTTGAGTCAACCTGATTCGTCGTGACTGCATGCAGAGGCCCAGTTGACCTTCTTCCTAGGGCTGAGACACTAAACAACTAACAAACCTTTGTGCCTAAGGGAAGACTAAGACTGGTTTTCTCACTGTTAGTGCAATGTGGTTAACCTCCACCTCAGACTAGCTTTACTTCCCTATCAAAGGAGGAGGAAAATTCTGTCATGCTTTGAAACGCTAAAGCACAGATGATTTCTTTGCAGAACTGCAATGTAATGCCAGCAGTGGAATCCCCAGCCTGATTTCCCTGCCTTATTGATATTGTCTTATCAATAAGTCATTCTGATCCAAAGCTGCTGCTGCTGCTGCTGCTGCTGCATCTCGCTTGCTTTTGTCTACTTCAACACCCAGAACGTTGGGGAAACTCAGCCTGGAAAATCTGCCGTGGACTTGGCCGCAGTTTGCCAGAATTCAGGCTGGATCTTTCCAGTTCTAGCTGGAAATTACATCTGGGAATGTAAATGTGCAGACCCAGTCTCCGTTAACCTGGTTACTGAACTCCGTTTTCAAGTTTGCCTGGAATCCCGCTAACCAAACGGGTGGAGTCCATACAGTGTAGTAATTGCAAAAAAAACCATATGCCCAGCCACTTTGCTTGAATGCAGCTGTTCATTATTTAACCGCTAAGCTTGTCAGCTGAAACCGGACACAGACTGGCACATAATCGCTAGAACAAGAACTGAATAATCAAAATTCCTGCTAGGCCCCCCTCCTTTATCACACGTTTCCCACTCATTTTCAAGCCCTTCTTTGCAACTTTAGGGGCTAGAAACATGAGGCTCTTTACATGTTAATTCTCCACTTGCACAAAATAATGTCTGGTGAACTCACTCGGGAATTGTTTTGGACGATGCCTCCCGCTTGAAAGCCAGCTGATACTTAAGGCTTTCAATTTCCTTTTTCCACTGGGGGGCATCCCACTCATCCATGGAGCCTGGTCTTGGTTGGCTTTTTGGGTCAACGAAAGAGGAAAGATGTCACTCTGAAGGGAAAACAAAAAAGAGAGACTCTTTAAATGGGCTTCATTCCATTTCTAGGTGCCGCTGTTCCAAAGAGCTTTGGACGGAAGTTACTTCCACCATCGTAACACTTTTTACCTGCAAAATAGGCTAAAGAAGAAATTAACGGCTAAATGCCAAAGGGCACCTTGGACTCACTACTACTAATTTCCATCGTGGGTGTGGATGGATGGATTGGTTATTGATTTTACAGTACTGATAATCCACCCCATCCCAAAGGATGAACCAAAAACATAATGATAGGGAAAACAGAACAATGCCAGAACGATAAAGTAATCACCAAAAAGTGAAGGTAAACTGCAAATAAAACTCAAGACTGGCATCCACAATCAGGGTGGACCAAAAGCATGTTGAAATAAAAATATTTTAACCTCGTTCTGTCACTGCAGCGTAATGTGATTATATTATGCTTCTGTGTGTGCCTTTGGTCTCAGTTCCAGGCAAGCTTGCAATCTATATTTCAATATATGAAGGAGAGAGGATGGCGGAGGAGTGGGAATTAAACTATAGTAACCCTGAAAAGAAGTAGTTGTTCAGGTTGCTAAGAGCTGTTGGTGAAAGTGCTGGACTGGCTCCAAGGAGCCCCATCTCAGTGACCCCCTAACCACAGTATTGACTGGGGGAACCAATCGCGGAGGGTAAGAGGAGGAAGTGCTGCCCTTCACTAAACCGCCTTGAGCAGCCATATTAAATGCAAGAAGTGCCATGAGAAAGGCCGAAAGGCACGCAGGGGTTGTGGCCTCTTGCCGCAAGGCTACCCCTCCCATCAAGTTTCAGTGGAGCTCCTTCAATGCTCGTGTTTGAGCCAACCAACTACGCCTCCCTTCAGGACGCTGCTCCACCCGGTGGGCCGCAGAGGCTGGAGTGTGCCCAGACGCAGATGTTCTCCCAGGCTCTTGTTCCACCAGCTCCATGTTGGCTCCAACGCGGTTGCCACTCACTCCCCAGCTCAGGCAATCAATGAGCTAAATATTATTCCATTGTTCGTCAGTCCTGCCTATCCCTAACAAGGTTCCTGCTCATCCAGTGCGTCTTACCTGGCCCGGCTTTAGGTTGCAGGAGCCCACCAATGCAGGTCTTCTGACCCTGGTCATGAAACGGGTTCTTCATATGTCCAGGCCCAGCAGTGAGGGCAGGCGGGCAGGTGGCCCGAGAAGTTGGCCTTTGAACCCTGCCCTGCCCTGCCCTGCCTTCTGGGCAGCAGGCATTAAGCCCTCAACAAAGGTGGCAGCAAAGGGGAAATCAGCTTTAAGGGGCGGTGAGTCTCACCCGCCAATGGGCAGAGGAGAAGCAGGACCATTCACAAAGCGGTGCTGTGGCCCAGAGGCAAAGCAGTCCTTTTTGCATCTCAGGTGGGGTTTCTTTTCAAGCTGCCTCCTGTCTGGGCTGTCCCTGGATCCGCAGCACCGGCCGCCAAGAAAATGTAAGGGGCGTTATCTTTACCTCTCCTCTCTCCTGCACAGAAGGTTCTCAGCCGCAGTGTTCAGAGAAGCTGGATCACACGTGCCTTGCCTTAGAGCTGTGGTGGCTGGGGACTATGGGTATGAGGTGGAGGAAAGCAGATGTGTGCAAACCGTGGAGTGATAAAGACCCAAGAAGTCGTTTTGGGGCCATTGCCAGTGACTGCCAAAGGAGACCTTGGCTACCAAGTCTTGTTCTTCTAGCAGGGCTCATGCACTTGGGGACGTGGTAATTCAAGTCCCGTGCCCTCCATCCACCCCCCACCTCCCTTTTCTGGGTTTTCCAGGCTGGCCAAAGTCCTGCTAAAGGTTGGAGATCATCACCCTTCGGTAAGATCTGCATGTCGGACCACCCCTGTCCTTCGCAAAGATACACAAACCACTAACAGCAGCTTTCCAGTTCAGAGATGCCCTGTGGGTGCAAAGTAGCAGCTCTACCACTGAACTACAGCCAGTCCTATAGACTAAAAGCAACAATCCTCTTCTAGTCCATAAGGACTAGAAACCTGGGTCCTTTAAAATAAACAAGCAAGCAGCTTTTCTCCAAAACTTTTTTTTTTTTTTT